CTCAAACCCTAAGTTCTTTCAAGAAACTGGAAATTGTGAATGTAGCTAGAAACTTCCTGAGGAATCTTCACAGCGAATTAGTCTCAGGACCTTTTAGTATGCACTTAAAATACAATATGCAGTAAGAAGCTCCCCCTAAGATATGAAAAAATGTAAACTCACCCAGGAATCCTCAAAGGAACTTTCTGCCACATATACAGTTGTAGGTTGAGGACTTGGTGTACCGGGTGTACAGCCCAAGTAGAGAATACATGTATGTGTGTCCATGTACTAGGCTATCCGAATGATGATGGGGCAAGATGAGCCACATGGACCAGGAGACCACACCACAGGAAATGGCCTGTGGTTTACCTAATTGCCTGTTGATGATCGAGGTTTACTTGAAAGAGTCTCCCCATCTGTTGCATTACTTAATAGAAAATATGGGGGACCATGCAGAGGAATTAAAGCACACTAAAATGTAAGAAAAAAATATCCTGTCACACACAGAAAAAATTAAGGTCACGCCTTATAAATATGCATTTTCGATGACCTGCTGTCAAAACTAGTGCATGCGCGGTAAACTAGATTTCGCCTACAATACTACACGATGTACACCTAAAGAAATGTCTATCTCTAACCAAAGAAATTATCAAGCTAAACAAGCACATCGTTATTGTGCTGGAGCAGAGGGCTGGTGACTTTATAGACCAAAGGCTGTTGTTGTATGTACTGGGAGACTGTAACTAATTTTTACACGCCGCTTTTAATTAGGGCCTACATGTATTTATAAAGTAAACTGACAAAACTTGTTTCAGTCATTGCTTCAACAAATATTCTTCCTCAAGCTCAAAAGTCTCAGCTCTTTGTCACTTGCATAAGCTAGACCTAACTTTTAGTGCTTAGGTTTAGAACGGAAATAAATGTGCCTCGACTCGGGCATTGTTCAGCTTCTATTCTCCTGATCCGGTCTAATGTTTTAAGGCCAGCCAGGCACATATTTATTCCCTTATTAAATTGTTTACAATAATATTAAACTTAATAGTAGTATTTATCCTTTGGGGGATACCTACATACAAAATGATAGGCCCTCAACCACTGCATAAACCAAATTTTCATACTTTCACTAAATCCACATCAGATCTTGCATAGACGGGTGCCTTGGTCCATCTGTTGTCATCTACAAGTGGAAGCGGGACAGGTGTCCAAACTACCCGTCTAAAGGAGAGATTATCACTATCGGTGGGCCATTGCTCATCCATGAACTTGTCCTGGAAGTGCAGCATAAAAAAGGTAATATTTACAAATTGGTCATTTGGGAGACATTTTGTGGTAATTTTTTCGGCATTAGGGAGACACTGGCTTTCACATCAAACATCATTTTCACATCACATCATTTTCAAACTACCTGAACGAGGCCCAACTTTACTGTCCAAATTTTGAGAGATGATAGATTAGGGTCTAAATTGAAAACACACAAAGTTTGGTTCAGATCAGATTAGGGAATATTGAATTATGTGACAGTAAAGTTGGAAAAAATTTGTGCACGTTCTTATGGGAATGTCTCCCTATTGACCCATTAGCGGTAATATAAATTTTGGTAATCATATCCTTGCAAATCTGTCAAAGCTATCACAGGCAAATTTTGTAAATTTACTTAATCAAATCACATCTATATGAGAGTAAGTAGCTGCGGTTGATCGGGATTTCCTGATGATTGCTGCAGCGACCCCTTTCAGGGTTGATTGTAGGTCCTGGCATAATTCCCTAATTAATGTAAATGAAATGAAATGTAACTGAAGTTTAACTATAATTCTACCGAAACATCACCAGTACTGAAGGACTTACCTGAGATTGCACTTGCCACCGTAATCCCGCTTGAGAGATCATATTGAATTAAACAAAGAGAGCGTTGCTATATAAAAGGAGCCCCGGCATGTACGCCTCTGGGCACTTTTGTAGTACGGAACACTGATCAACTGTTGGCAGTCAGGCAATTAGCAGCGGGAGGGTATTAGAATTGTACCTTTTCATAATTAACCCTGGACTTACATCGACTGTACTTTCAGCAGTCTAGTTAGAACACACGCGCACCAAGGTACATTATTTAACTTCCATTGGTGACCTGTATAGTACATTTACACTTGTATCGCTTGCCAAGAACCTCATCTGCGAAGACAGAATTATCGGTAATACACTTATTGTAATACATGGCGAATGTAGACCATTTTGACCAGTCAGCTGTTCTCATTACTGTTTCTACTGGCACACCGCATTGGGAAGTGGTATTACAGGATGCTGATCTAATCAGGCATGCAACTTTTCCGTGGATCCACGGATTTCCACGTTTTTTAAAAATCTGTCCGCACAAAAATAATATCCGCCTTTTGGGCTTGTTTCTGTTCCCATCGTGGTGCTGGCCACTTTTCGTTACACATTCATGAGCACAAACACCTCGTCTGGCCCCTTGCACGCGTAAAATGCACTAAAAAGTGAAGGACACAGACTCAGCTCAGTACGTACAAGCTCCCTCTGTCAATGACAAGGCAATAGTTGGTGCCGCATTCTTTCCTGACAGTAATGAATACGTCATTATATGGATACTATACCACTTCTGCGACCGGCCACAAACGTTGAAAAAACACTGTCGTCAACGTGCATCGTGATCATCGATCCCCCATATATCAAAACTCAAAATGTCTTCCAAAAGGAAGGATATCATCAAACGTGATGGACAGGATATCAAAACCTGATAAATGCTTGGAAGTGGGACTGGTTGGAAAAACCAGTTGATGGTGTTCTCTACCTGAAGCTGTCCAAAAACTGGATCAGCCATGCATGGCATATTGCTTGGTATTCAAAAAGGAAATGAATTATGGCAGACGTGGACTTGTAACGCTGACGGATCACTGCAAAGTATCAAAACATCGGGAACTGATAAAGCTACGAAAAACAAACTACAGCCTCCAAGGTAAGATAGTCCTAGGCCTATGGATTTTTTGAAATTAAAAAACATAAATTGATTAAAACTTTTAGCAGGCTTAATTTTTTAGATTGATTTTTTAACTCAAAATTGTGTTTGCCCAGTTCTGCACTTATGAATACATATTTTAATTACAAGTTATTTGTTGATGTTTTACGTGCAGTGCTATCATAACTATGCAGGCTATTGTCATGATTGTGCAGGTTTGCGATACTGATGTACATGTTTGTTCATGGTTGGTTTATAATCTTATAAAGTCTAGGCCTGCCATCCAGTTTTTTTATGAAACATGTAACACCCATTACTTTTATATGTATACAACCCTTTTTGGTTTTCTTCATGCATTTTTGCAGAAGTAGATAGTGCCTCATCAAAAACACTGTATGGCCTACATCCCTTTTTCAAGAATGTTTCTGCAACCTCAGTATCTGTTGAGAAGATGCCACAATCATGCACACCACTGAGTGATCGGGTTGCAGCCACAGCTACTACTGTTATTGCATTTATGGCAGAAAACAAACTACCCTTCACAGTGGCCCCAAAGCCATTGTGAAGGGTAAAAAAGAATCACAAATAAGAAGCATTTTGTGTATTTCTAATGTAAAGTATTGTGGCGAAACAGGGTAGCTGCGCAGACCTGTGTTTAGTCTGGGTCATTAATAAATCAGGCGCGCCTAATTCATGCATTAAACATGCGCACGGCAACCAATCAGAGGCGTGCATTACCTTAGGTCTAGGCGCTGGCTGTGTGGGTTGCCAGGACTTCTCAAGATGGCAGCGCGCTAACCAGAGCTCTGTGGAGTTGTGTTGTGTTCTGAATTTCGAGTGTAAATCTGACGTACGGCCGCTGGTGGTTGGGGATCTATCTCAAGTGTACCTGGTGGGATCGGTTAGTGTGGTGCTAGTTCTCAGTTGCCGGAGCTGCCTATTAGATCAGATCTCTTTGAAGATTAGGGAATCGTTAGACAGTCTCATTTATTTAAGAAGTGGTAGATTATAGGGTTAGGGAACCCGTGTGAACCAGTTAATTGGGGAATTAGCAGAGCTTAGACTCAAAGGATCATGTGCCGTTGTTCCATGCTTGTTGGCATAGCGACGGTTGGTTGCGGTCCTGGTCAGGAAGCTTGCTGTCCTCGTTGAGGTTTACTGGGTGCAGGTTTCCGTTAGAGTCTGGTGAGGACTATTAATATCGCCTTCTTAATCAACTTACCTTATTTCATAATAACTTGAAGTGGGTGAGGGTTATTTAAGTCAACATAAACCTTGTTGCAGTTTGGGAACTGTGTTGCTTCGTAAGGCAGTATAGATTATTGTTGTACAAGTCTACACAGTTGTGTTGTGTTGTATAGTTACGAAGATTGTATTCGCTTGTGTGGTTAAGACTTATCAGTTATAAGCCATCGGTAGATTGTTTATTTCGACTTTATGGTTACCTTGATCACTGTGAGGGTAACCTGGTTATTTTAAGGTTTACCCTGATCACCGTGAGGGTTATTCTGGTGTAGGTTAAGGATAAGGCTGATCAATCACGTTCATGGTGCAGTTGACCACGTAGGACTACCTCCCCATGAGGATAATTTTGTATACAGTTAATTGTTGCTGTATATAACGGATAACTGAGCACTGACATTGAATAAACCAATCATATAATTGCCTTGGAAATCACTGGTCACTGTGAAATTTAGTTCAGTCCTGTATCACTTATTGACATTTATTGTAATCTTTATTGGCATTGTGATCAATTACCTAATCACAGAGCGGTGGTAAACCTCCACCAAATGAACAGCCCCTAAGGTATAGTCCACCGTTCGTTAACTGATATCCCCCCTTGCATTTGGATAGCCGCTCATTCTTGCGTAAGGTTAAATAAATATATTTGTGAGGTTTGGCCGATCAGGCCAGTCTGCTGGTCCACCTCAAAAAGGTGTCAGTTGTCCCACCACAGTATGCCATAAAAAGCTTTATATCTTTCACTCAAATTTCACTTCAACTGGGACCAGAAACTACATAGAATGCACCAGAGAGCATGTAAAATTCAAAATAAGGCTGGTTCTGACCCCACGCCGAATTGGCTTCATGCTGCGTGCACGCAGTTTTGTATGCAAGAATATTTTCCTCTTTTTTTTTTTCAAATTGAAGAGTTGCATGCCTGTCTAGTGCTATGTGGGTAAATTGCATTGTATTGATACCTGCTGTTTTAATAGTACCTTTGATCCAACGGCTAATAGTTTCAGAACCAACAGCGTTATGTGGCTTTATGTAGCTTAAGAAAAACTGTCTCCCAGTACCTCTAAGAAGTTTTGTTCTTTGGAGATAAGTTTTCAACACATCGATTACACAAAGTGAGGCATATTGGGGGTATGATGTAAGGCAAATACTGACATGAGGCTTCCCAATTTGCTCGTTTTAGTGAGCTTATCAATTGTAAATGTGACACCAGAAGTGGTAACATTAACATATTAAATCCAAATTGATTAATGTTAAAGTCTGTCAGCATTGCTCCGACACCAAGGTGATAGGCATAACCAATTTCATGGGAGTTCCTTAACCACTACCTGCCGGGGACTCCGAAATCGGAGCCATACGGTTTATATGTGTGGCTGGGGTATGTGAACTTGGACAAAGGAAACAGGACCCTGTAACAAAAGACCGTACTCCGAACAAAAGACCAGGCTGCGGGGCAATACCGGTGGTGATAATCCAGCGTTGTTTTGAAACCGTATACCAGGGTTTGGGGCATTGAGAGCAAGCGGATTACCACCGGGCACAAAAGTGCTCCACCACTGCAGCGATGAGCCACACAGCACCGCTGCACGCTAATCTGGCCCCTATTGAAAAGAGGTCAGCAGTGCACTTGTATAACACCGCACAATCTGGGCTCTGTTTACAAGGCTGCAGGCCTGGCTAAAATATTCGGGTGTCAATGAAGGTCACCTGTCAACTTAGAGTAGTGCCTAAAGAACACTCCGTGCGGCTATAAACGACTGTTAAATGGAATGATGAATTGTTGAAGGATTTTGAAAACGAAAAAAATGATAGTAGTGCCGGCCCAGCATCATCAACGTTGAAAAATGCCCAGGCACAAAATGGTTAATGTGGAGGTCTTTATTGAGCCCCAGGGACCAAAGATACTGCAGAACAACAGTCACATCCCAAGTTTGCGAGTACCGCGGTGTTGGTGGCCTTATTTTGAATATACCTGCTAAAAGTCTCTTGACTGGGGATTGTGAACCCATGGCAACACCCCCGCTAGTAAGGTAAGGTCAAGGCTGATATAGCACTCCACATGGTTGATACCGCTGTACTCTCT